TCCATGCTCCCCAGGGACCAAGGGCACAGGATGCTCTGGCTGTAGCCAGCAGTGAGAGCTGCTCCTTGTGTTCCAGGGACAGGGTTGTGACAGTGCTGGTCACCCTGGTGGCCCCAAGTCCCTGTCCTGTCCTTTCCCAGGGACCCACACCATGAGCCATGGCCACAGCACGGCTTTGCCAAGGGCAGGTCCAGCTGCAGCCATGCACTAACAGCCCTGTATCGATTCCCATCTCACAGGCAGTGTCTGGAAACTTCTTCAGGGTCAGGAGAGCACATCCAGCAGGGACGTGGCAGGGACAGTGAGTGGGCAGGGCCCCTGGGGCCAGCCACAGCCACCTCCCTCTCCGGGGGAAGGCTGTAACCTCCCTGCTGTCGACAGCTTGATTTGATGCCATTAGAGCTTTGCTGGGAAACAGCCTGCATCAGGCACAACATCTGGCACGGCCCTTCCCCAGCAACGCCGTGGCACATCCGAGAGCAGAGCTGGCCTCTGGCTCTGCCAACAGCTCTGGGTGCTGCTGGTGATGTGAGTGTCCCCTCCCAGGGACAGCCTGGTGCCCCACAGGGACATGGCACCGTGGCTCTGGGAATCCCTGGTGGGATTTCACAACACGTTCCCTCTGTGCGTCCCCACCTCTGTGTGCCGGTGACTGATCCGTCCCCTCGCACCATGCACTTCTGCTCATCCCAACATTGTCCCAGCTGTTTGGAAAATTAACAACAATTAATTGATAATAATAATTAATTAATCACGATAATTAATAATAAAGGAGAAAAGGGAGAAAAGCTCCCCCTAAAGCTTCAGCCCAGGGTCTTCTCAAGCCGATTTCATTTTTCAAACCCACTCCCACACAGCATGAAGGGCTCTTTGCTCCCATTAATTCTCCCACCACAGCCCAGGGCTGCCCCACAGCCTGGCTTTGATTTTCCTGCCTTTGTTCCAGCAGCACTGGCACAGGATACCATGCTGTGGTAGGGGCTTTTGTGCCAGCTTTCCAGATTTTTTGGACCCATCTTTTCCCTGGAATTTAGGCTTTAGCTGCATCCAGTTGCCCGCAGAGCCTGCAAGATGCAGCTGCAATTTGTGGCAGTGACATGGAAAACATCCCAAAAGGGGATGGGGGAGCAGGGAGGGATGGGGTGCTGGGCTGGTGTGGGTGGCACTGAGCCTGGGGACTCCACTGTGTGATTGGTGCATGACTGAGCAGCTGGTGCTGGTGGAAATATAATTAAATAAAGCCCCATGTGTGTGTGTAGACCTCAAAAAGGTGCTGAGGTGTTACTGGTGGGTGCTGCAGGGAAAAGGGCTGAGCTGGGGCCTGTCAATCCAGCAGTGTGGTTTATGTGGCTGTGGCAGAGCTGCCAGCAAAGGGACCGTGTGGTGTTTGGCATGTTGTGGCAGTGGCATGAGGGTGATGGAGGGACATGTGGGGACACACATGAATCTGTGTCCTGGCTCAGGGCTGCCTGGCACCACAGGCAAGTGTGCCAGGAGCTGGGATGGGCTAGGATAGACACTGCCAGCACCTATCCCCTCCTCTTGTTATACTCCTTGCCTTGCTGGAGGCTGAGGGGACAGCACTGGCGTCACCACTGTGTCACTGCCAAGGGAGCAGCACTGAGGATGTCCCTGGACAGCCACAAACCCCTGGGGCTGCTCTAACCCAGCTGACAAATCCCTATCTCATCCAGGCTTGCATCCACCCCAGTACCTTCAACCCACGGGCACTGGGGACAGGCAGCATGCATCCCCCTGCCACCAAGCCCTTCATTAGCCCCCACAAGCCACTTGACTGCCTTGAGAGATCAAACCGGTGCCCCAGGTGTGTCCCTGCTCCCGGAGCAAGCGGGCTGAGGAAATGGGGAGCTTTAATGACGCCGGTGGCGAGGCTCGGTAATGACGGCTGCCGGCGGGAGCAGACAGCTTCCAGATGGCATCGCGCCGGGGCAGGGGCATCGCCGGGGCCGGGGGGGCTGCGGGAGGCGGCAGCCGGCAGAGACGGGCACAGCCTGCAAGTTGAAATGACTTTTTTTGCAGCAGAGCCTGCGGTTCTGGCCCTCCGCGCTGCTGCTTCCAGTAATTAGCCCAATAATTAAAAAGAATGGCGATAAGAGGGGTGTGCAGAGGCGCTCGCAGGATCCCGGCATCCCTGGGGAGGCGTGTGAGAAGGGCGGGAGTGATTTGCGGATGCGAGGGGTGGTGGATGTGTGAAACACAAAGCAGAGGGACCCCGGCACGGTGTGGGGGTCACTGCACCAGGTGAGCTGAGCAGGCAGGGAGGGAGGGGTGGGCAGCAGGGATGGGCAGCTTCAGCAGCAGGGGCAGGAGGGTTGCTGAGCCCACTGCAGACAGGGAGGAGGCAAGCAGACCCCAGCACCCTCCTGAGCATGGGCACTGTGCTGTGATGCAGGGAGGGGGGACAGAGGAGGATGCAGGACGCTGCAAGCTGGGGATGCAGCGCCTGGCAGTGTGATGCAGGGCAACAGAGCACGATGCAGAGTGATGAGAGGTGACACAGAGCCAGCTGCTGCCATCCAGGGCGGTGCAGTGCACAGGGATGGGATGCAGGGCAATGAGATGCAGGACAATGCAATGCAGGGCAGCACAATGCAGGGGGATGAAGTGCAGGGTGATGTGGTGCAGGGTGATGTGAGGTGAGGCAGGAGGAGGATGCAGGGCAATGCAGTTCAGGGCGATGCAATGCAAGGCAACACAATGCAGGGAGTCAGAATGGAAAGTGATGCGATGCAGGATGAGGCAAAGCAATGTGATGCAGGGCGATGCAAATCAGGGTGATGAAAGGCAAGGCAACGTGGAGCAAGGGTAGGTAGTGTGAGGCGATGCAATGCAGGGCAAATCAGGGCGATGCAATTCGGGGTGATGCAAGGCAACAAGATGCAGGGAGGTGAAACACGAGCTGAGGTGTTGGAGAGCAACACAAGGCCATGCAGGCAATTCAGTGCACCAGGGGTGATGCCAGACAATGCAGGGCAATGCGAGGCGATGCAGCATCAGGTGCTGTGTTCCGGGGTGGCTGTGAGATGATGCCCAGTGGGGCAGTGCCCAGCAGCTAAGGTGAGGCGAGGCAGGGATGTCCCCATGGTGCAGGTGACACTGGCCCTCTCGGAGCCTGGCCCACCGCGGTGGCGACGCTTCATTTGAATTCTCGCCTCTCTCTCTTCGCAGATAACGAGCCCGCGCCATGCAGTCCTTTCGAGAAAGGTGTGGTTTCCATGGCAACCAGCAGAGCTACCAGCCGACTTCACAAGATACATCACGCCTGGAGAATTACAGGCATCAAAGTCAGGCAGGGCCGAACTGCGAGCGGCAGAGGCTGGTGGCGAAGGAGTACTACAGTCAGCAGCAGCTGCCGTACGCGGGCTATGAGAACAGCGCCGTGGAGAAATACCACCGGGGAAACAAGCAATTAGCGGGGCAGCAGCTGCAGGGCAGGCCGGCCTTTTCCAATTACACTGTGCAGGAGAACAGCCCTTATCCGGCCCGGTATTCCGGGGACGAGAGCCTGCAGGCGTGGGGAGGCCAGCCACAGGCACTGCCCGGCGGTGTGGCCAAGTATGAGGACAACCTGATGAAGAAGACAGTGGCGTTGGCGGGTGGGCGGCCGTACCATGAGCCGGCGGCCACCTCGCTGCCCTTCCGGACT